CAACCTACCTTGGATTAAGGGAAACCTACATACCAAATTTCGTTGAGATATCTCAATTTTTGCTCGAGTTATCGTGTACACGGACAGACGGACAGACGGACAGACGGACGGACAGACAGACATGGCTTAATCGATTTCTTTTTTCATCCTGATCATTTATGTATATATTTTTCTATATCTATCTCGATTCATTTTGGCTGTTACAAACAACCGTTATGTGAACAAAATTAATATACCCTTGTGCACAAGTGCGCTCGGGTATAATAACCGATCTCAGGACTTGGTTGAAGGACACCCTATCTCAAAATTCGGATCGAAAACGCTCTATCTCACTTGAAAATATATTGAAAATGTACTGAGATAGGGCATTTTTGAACTGAATTCTGAAATGGGGCGTTCATCAACCGAATTTTGAAACAGGTCGTTCTTGAAAAGTTTTTTGGAGATCGGGTGTTTTCGAACTGGCTATTTAGATAGGTCGATCTTCCACTCAGCAGTCGATATCAGTCAATAAACCTCCCGCCAGTGTGTTTCTTTTGAGAACGCAATAGTGAAAAGGAGGGACACAGAGATAAGGACCTTTTACTCGATTTGTTCAAATAAATTTAATTGAAAAGTATGCAGTTTTAAGTAAAAGCAATGGCTTAGTTTTTATACATACATTTAAGAACAAACTTTGCGAGCAAACCCTTTAAAGAAAATATTGGCAAGATAGTTAAGTCTAAGCTCTATAGCCATTTGCACTTTCTTATGCTTCCAAGGTGGATATTAAAGTTGGAAACGGCATTAATTCGCAATGCGCTTTTTAATTTTATCTTACATGGTTAAAGGATGCTGAACTTGCAAGAATGATATAATACAATATTGCGCATTCCTGCGGGTAATGGGAATGCAACATAAAATAAAACGAAGAAGAATAGGAGAATAAAAGTTAACAGTCAAAAGAGTTAATTTATCAACATTCAACGGCGGCCGGGTTGAAAGTTTTACTGAATTTCAGTGTACCTAAAATTTATTTTTATTTCCTTTAAGAATGATAAAATTCGGCAATAGCAAAATAGCCTACAATTTCATGCGCCACTTTTGTGCTCAACATCGTGCTGAAATCGGATTTCACGAATTTTCTCTTAATCTACTTTCAGTAAACATCTACTCTGATGGGCAAGCATTCATCAGATTGCTGGATTTCTCATCGAGAGTGATTATATAGTGCCTGGCA